CTGTTGTTTAATAAAAACGATATTACAAATAAAGTGTACAATTATACACACGTGACTTCAATATTACTGGTTCTCCCGGGTCTCTCTAAGTGCAGGTTTCTCTCTAAGTGCAGGCTTTGGCTTCGGTCCCAACGACCTGCACTTAGGGAGAGTCCACTGTATTGTTTTTCCTACATTGTTGATTGTATATAATTATCATTGGTCACAATAGCAGGTCTAATCATGGGGTTGACCTTGTAATACGTCATTGGTATATATATATATATATATACACAGGCTACCGAAAATGTCTACAAGTACCACTACTGATCCCTCGGTGGAAGATGTTGAAGGATATAATACGGAAATTCTTATCGCTTACCTACAAAATCAACGAATTTTAAATCTAACTGGACAACATATTAATGTGCTCCGTGAAAATGAAGTCGCTGGTTATGACTTTCTAAGATTGAAACAAGAAGATTTGGAACGATATGGACTGAAAAACCAGGACCGGCAAAAAGAATATCAGACTTTACCATTCAGTTAAATAGTCAAAGTAAGTTCTATAAAACAATCTATTAAATATTCCATATGCTCTCCTATTGTTTGCACCTTGTAATGTTATCCAATGTGTACATAGTAATAGATAGTGTAGACTTAGTAATATGGTTTTCTATCCTGTGGATTTATCACTAACTGGAGTTACTTTTCTAGTTAAAATCAGCTTGGAAGAAGCACTTTAATCTATCCCACCACCTATAACATATGCTCCAGGATGTGTTACATTGAAGACCACTACAAAAGTCAATGGTGACCCACTGACAGATGTACTGCTTTTACTTTGGGATGACTTTCTCAAGGAAGTGAACCAATTCCACTTCAATCAACAGCTGAGATTCAAGAGACTGCAATTTAGCAAAGATAGAGTGATGACTAATGAAGAAGATGCTTTGCTAAGTCTACAATCTTAAAAGCAATTGTTTCACCATGAAACCCACATAATAATAAGAGCATTTTACCACTTCATCCTTCACCTAGTATATCCTTCTGTAAAAACAAAATTCTGTAGCTTGTCTGAAGCATCAGGTGATTGTTGATATGCTGGTAGTTGTTTGTTGATTTACTGATTGGGAAATAGTCTTGTCTTCAGAGTTCAGGCAATCACCAACTTGATAAGATCATGTGAGTTATACAAGCAAAGAGAAATTTTCAAGTTAATCTTGGTTCTCACCCCTATTACCATAGACATATTTATTAGCAGTACTGTTAGGAATATATTTAAACCCAATAATCCTAACTATTACATGGTTATGTTCTGGAAGAAATGCAAAAAGAAGTAGAAATCTATTACTATGGATATCCAGGGACAATATATTCTGAAATTGGTTTGTCATGAATATTTTGGAGGAGGGATGTGCTTCATTATTGGATTGACCATTGTTGGTACCCTATTGGATAAGCACAAAGTAACAAAACAGCAAAGGTTAAGGCATTAGAAACCATCCACAAGTATGGCATTCTCCACAATGACATTTGAGAGGAAAATATTTTGGTTGATGACAGTGGAGACATATATTTGGGATGGCAAGTCAGGCAGACACAAAAAGCTTTTTGAGGAGAAATTATCTCATTTACTAGATGAATATAGTCATGCCTCTCCACAGTTACCCTGTCAGTTTCCAGGAATCTGATGACTGCACAGAGGATGTAATTACAAAAACTGTCTTATGTAACTGATTATGCAATCATGCTTTTGAGTTGATTATTGCTAGAATAAATAGTCAAATATTAAGCTAGCTAATTTTAAGGATACATGTATTAGGGGATAGCTTACATGGTTATGAATAAAGTAATGATGTCTATTTACTATATTATGCAAAAATAAATAAGTTTTAACTAATTCTAGAAGTTGTGAGGTGGTTAGATATAATAGTATTATTAAGAATGTCACTGGGATGCCAGTTTATACAACTGAAGTCCAGCCCTGCCAAAGGTTAGAAATTGCCAGGCTTAATAATTCAAACAAGATTTTATTTGACAAGAAACCTTAGTATTAGTGAATGCTAGTGAAGTATTTTCCAACTGTAAGTTTATTTGTTGTTTCCCATTGTATTTATTTGATCCTATAAGTATTTGTCATAAAGTAGTTTTTGTTTACTCCATTGGAGTCTTCAAGGAAAAGGTATAGAACCTCCCTAATGTCAGTCGTTTTGCATAACTAAATTCCTACTGCAAATAACTGATTAAAATCTAAATGTTAAGTTGTTGTTTAATTACTAAGACTAATTTTCTGTATTAGTATAGCAAATGTAACTGCAGTAAACTGACTTAATAGTAACAACTCAATTGTCAAGTTTAATGCCTTGAATTTTGCACAAAACACATACAGATTACAGAGAAACCTCTCTAAGTGCATGCCATTTTAGGGAGGATGTGCATTTAGAGACATGCAACTTAGAGAGGTTTCTCTGTACTATACATGAAAATGATAAAATTATATATAGGAGTATCCGTATATGAAAAATTATAATTATAACGGTTCCACCGAATACGAAAAAGCAATCCGTTTCTTGGAGATAGGTTGTAATTGTGGCTGTTCGAAAAAGATCCCAAGAGAAAGGTTTGCCGAATTACGTGAAGCATTTCAAGCTCTCTCTAGACCCGAGCAAGATATATTTTTAATGGCCCAGTTGAAATCAATGAATGGGGAGAAATAACTGCCAGTCGACGTCTTAAAAGAAAACGCGTACTAATAAAAGAACTATTATTATTTTGTGCTTCTTGCTCATATTCCACAAGTACAGTATGTCATCCTCACTGAAATCCGTTTCTCTAAAGTAATAGTAATTAAGTATTTGCGTCGGAAATGACTTCAGAGTTGGTGGGATGAGACATTTTTTAATACAGTCAACTCTGTTTATACCGGAAATGTATGTACTGGAATCTCTTTATACCGGACGGACTGATTCTTGCGCACCGTTCGTTTCATATAAAAATTCTTTGTTTATACCGGAGTCTCTTATAATCTTTCCATATACCGGTTCCGGAAGGACACAGAGAGCTATGCCAACCGTTCGGTATAAACAGAGTTGCTGTAATAATATCTACCAGAATGTTAACTAACAGTTTACAACGTTAAACGTGTAGGTATTATATACATACTTAGGGTTAATTATCGACATGCGACTTACGGTCACGTGATTTTGCATACTAATAAATAGCAAGGTGTGTTGGGGGTATTCATCAGGTGATATAAGCGATTTTGTTGGTGAATCAAAATTATAGGAATTTGCCGACGATGAAAACAGTAACGAAGAAAGGAGTGACGAAAATGTGAAGAATGTGAAGACGATACTGATAATGAAGAACAACAGCGCAATAACGATGAGCATATAAACGAAGATATATTTGACCCAATACACAAGTCCCGGACAAATTGTTAACACCATGCGTCGTCATTGAAAGCGAGATGGCGTCGTAAATCGCTGTGGAAGCATGTATAGATTAAAAAGACTTTGGAATCCGAACGGCTGGGAGTATGTCATAGTCATTCCGGGTTTGATTACCAGTCTTTACATACGCTGGAGAGGGAAGCAAAAGCCATAAAGCTCCTCTTCTTCTTCCACCTCTTCCTCTTCCATTTCTACCATTTTGTTACCAACCCTTCATTTCATAAATCACTTCAAATCTCAATATGTCTTTCGGAAACATCAGTCGCCGCCTTCTTTCCACAGCAACGAACGGAAACAACGGAAAAAGCAACGGAAACTGTGAATAATGTACTGTATCTCTTTCTAGTATTATAGAACACCAAAACAAGCAATATTACATTTCAGATATCGTGACCTACTGGAAGAAGTATGGCAGTACCGTGGGCCTTGTAACAGTGACGGGTCGGTCGGTCGTCGGATATGTGAGGGCAAAAGGGAATGAACTTGTGTTCTGTAAAAAAAATTATTATGTCTATTATCGCGGAATGGAGTGTACAGATCATTGCTGGCTATTTTTTTGGGGAAAGACACAAATGCCCTGCATAGGCCAACACAAATGCCCAACAACTAGGAGAGCAGAACAATCATGTCTGTGCTGCAACAGGACAACATGAACAGGATGCAACAATATCACTGGAATTACTTGGAAACATGGCCCTGATACAAAGAAACATAAAATCGATGGACTTACTAAGATAATCAATACAACTCAAAAAATCAAATAATCATCTTAATTGAGTTCTCATTTGGCAGGCAGGCACCTAAATTAAAATCGAAAGAAGACAGCAATCAGATTTAGTTATGCAGGAACTCTATGAGAACTCTGAACAAACTATTGCAAAGCATACTAATACCCCTTACATGTGACTAAGACAAGTGATAACCCATTAAAAGAGAGAGTTTTAAGATATGCTGCACAAATGCTGCAGGCTTTAGAGGAAACCAAACCAGACATCTGACAAAGCTCCAATACCAAGTCCATTTGTAATTAGGACAATCTTAAAAAATTATGTAATGCTTACTATTACAAAAAGTCTTGATTATAATATGATAACACCTTAACCTGACATCACACAGTGATATAAACAGTAATAGGGATATTTTGGAAATACCAGATTCATTAGATTCCTATATCAGTGCATTTCCTCAAATTTTAATTAAATTATTTATCAGAATTGTCTCAACATTTTTAAGAAGCAGAAACAAGTCAAAAGCTACAAATATTTCTCTAACAGAAAATGACAATAAAAAAATTACAAGAATAGCTGCATTCTTGTCATCAATTCTCTTAACAACTGCATTTAAAAAATTAAGAGTCTGGGTGACATACTTTAGCCACAGCCAAAATTACTGCCATCATTGAGATCCTTATTTGAAGCAGTTAATGTTGTCTCTTATAGTAGCTGGTGGGAATGTTATTTAAAAAAAATCAAATACAATCAGCAGACCCAACCAAGAAAATACAGATTAATCCATACTAATACATATTAATATGGAATGTTTGTGTGATTGACTTTGAGGAAGCTACTTGTGAGCATGGTAATATTTATGATAAGGCACAAAAAACATTACATGTAACACTGTGCACGATTTTTCAGTTTATATTTACACTATTGATTCAATCAGCAGTAATATAATAATATTAATGAAGTTAAACTTGGTACTAGTACTGGTGAAGCAAAAGCCTGGCATCAGAAAGTGAGTATAAGTGATGTTATTAAAGATTTTATAACATCAAAGCAGCATACACTTGACATTGATAATTTTAATTTGACTGATATTGATCCAGATGTCATTCTACTATATAGTAATAGCACATTGGCATTTTATCAATGTAAATAAATATATATATATATATATATATAGCATCTTGGGAAATGAATTCCCATAGACAATCGTCCCAAGAAGACTTCGAATGCCTTTACTATTGCTTTCTCCTGTTTCCCCCAATGCATGAATTTTGATACCTGATCTGGTAAAGAAATTAAATGAACATTTTCAAAAATGGCTATTACTATTTACTATGATTCAAAGGAATATGACTATTATACTATTATGGCGATATGTTCTACTTTTTCACTGATATACAGTATAAACTTGTCGCTGTACTGCGGATTTCTGATCCATATCAGACGTTGACAAAGACTGACAATTATTATATAGACGAGTCGGGGAAATTATTGACTAATAATAATGATGCTTTGTATCGTCACTATTATCATCATCATCATTATTATTATTCAAAGTCGAGCTTGAAAATAAAAGCTCGGCAAAAGTTATAGAGATCGTAAGATAACCCCCTATTATCCTGTGGCCCTACTTTTCAATAAAATTGACATCCTGTATTCACCAGAAGCATCGGCTTACTATTACGAGGATGGTGGATTAGTGAGAGGTAAGTCGAGGGTTACTCATATGCAAACAAGCATGTTAAAGTAATATCTGTAATGACTGTTTTTGCCATGCTTGTCATTTCATTC